CAGCCCTGCGCAGGCAGACGCCCTGAACCCTAAATCCAAAAGCCCCCAACCCCAAACCCCAAACCCTAAACCCTAAATCCAAAACCCCTAAACCCTCAACCGCAAATCCAAACCCCTAGACCCTAAACCAGAAATCCAACAGCCCTAAACCCACCCCCCAAATCAGCATCGTCAGCATGGACCATTTTGAAATTGGCCTCAAGGCCCGTCTTGGGGTAGGGCCGGTCAACTGGAGAAACGGACCTCAAAGGATGCTCATAATGCTGGCCCTCTCGGCCGGCATCATCAGCATCAGTGCCGCCAGCATGGTAAGCATCGCTGGGTGGCCGTTCTGCTATTGGTCTTCCGGACCCCACTCAATTCATGAGATGAGGCTTCCGAGGTGAGGCCATGCGAAACGAAGGCGCAAATGATGTCGCAGGCTTCGTGCGGCACGAAGTATCCATTGGTGCTCCCGGCATCCCCGGCGAGGGTGCATCCAAAGATCTCCTGCGGGCTCAACAGCTCAACGTTACAAAATCTTCCGCTTAAAACATGAGTTTCAATTCAAGATGGATTCATGGCACCCGCTTGGGACTGCCTTGCCTTTCTCCCTGTCTTGGTCGGGAACCCGATGTTGATATTTCTGTTGACAGAGTTGTGCGGCCTGACATTGAATGAAACACTCGTGCAAGGCCATACGGCAAGATATCCACAATGGACGGCTCAGGTCTCCATTCATTAATCCCACCAGTCCATGCACTTCTTTGCAAGTTCTGTGATGGGTTATCGTGTGGCCACAGCTCTCTTTTTTTGGGCTCGGAGCGGGTCATTGTCCCGTGGATCTGTGGCAGAGGGGGAGCAAGGGGGTGGACAGGGAGGCCAGGAGGGGAGAGGTGTGCCGAGGGGTGCAGAGAGCTAGACTCGGGCGGGTGTGGAGAGGAGTGGGCGCGGAGGAGCCGGACACCGGCGATCAAAACGTTAATGAAAATCATCTTGTCGATCCAGATTTTGACAGCATGCGCTTTGCGTGCTTCCGGAGCAGTGCGTGCACTTTACATTCCAGAGCTATGCACCACCTACAGCGTGTCAGCCTTGAGTTTTTTTTTGTGTGCGAAGTTGGCTGCATCACGAGATGTGGCATGGTTTCCGTAGGCTTTGTTCAGGCGCTAACGTGCTGGTCGGGGGACAACCCAGCACCATCCGCATCACTGCTCCTGCGTTTCTCCTCCGGAGTTTCCTCCAGGAGTCATTGGACATATGCACCGGTCTCTTTCTCCGGAGGGTGGCGACAGTCATTGTTGCTCGCATTTGCGGGCAGCGGGGGTGGGGGGGACTCTGATGCGGGGGTGAGGGGGAGAGGGGGAGGGAGCAGGCCGGGGAAACAGGTGTGGAGAGAGCAGCGTGGTTGGAGGAGCCAGGCACTAACAATTAAAACATCCATGAAAAGCATCTTCATAATCAAGGAAGGTTTTTGCCAGCATGCACCTTGTGTGCTTCCGGAGCCGTGCCTGTGAACCGTACGCTTCTCGCATTTCGTGTGGTGAGCTGATTTGCATGCTTTTGGGCGGACTGGGCCAGCATCACGAGCACGATTGGGCGGCCGTATCTTTCCTCAAGGCTCGAGCACCAAGGATCTCGAGGTGATTGCCAGGCCGGATTTGCATGCCTTTGGGAGGCCTGGACGAGCAGCCTGAGAATCATTGGGCGCTGTCCGGTCTGACGCTTTCAGAAAAACAATGCTGACAGTTTTGACGGAGAAAGAAGGACAGCCAACACAGCAGAGGGGGCAGGGGGAAAGAGCTGAATTCTTAGACAATCCTAGGAGAAAGAAACCCACCATTCCACAGAAACGAGGAGGAAGAAGGTCTGCCTCACCTCATCGACATGCAGGTCTTGATGCTGATAGGTGACAGTCTGGCACGTGTGGGATATTCTGCCAGCAACATGAATTTGGGGGGAGGACTACTGACGGTTGCTCAAGGCAGACAACCACCCACACCATAGTGGGAGGAAAGGGGTGTGAATCTTTTCAGCCAAAATGATGTTGACTGTTTTGGGAGAATGGAGAATGCACACCCGCCACACCCCAGGGGGGCGTTAGGAAGTCGTGGGAGAAAGACCACCCACCACAACACAGGAGGGAGGAGGAGGATCTGCTTGGCCTCAGCGAAATGCAGGTTTTGATGCTGCAAGGTGACGGTCAATTACCAGAATGCTGGCAAGAGTGGGACCGGGGTTGGGTGGGCTGGCCGGCGCTGCACTATACATCAGGCGAGATCTACAGAACAAGAAATGTGCGATTGTGGCGGGGTGTGGGACCCCCTCCTCCCCCACCTATGGACTCCCCACCATCGATGGTTCAGTCTTATCATGCTTTTTGCAGGCCTGCATTAGAAGATTGACATCCCGATTTTCAAGCAGTCTCAGAGTGGCATTCTGGCATGCACTGGACCTACACGCCGATTTCTCCTGGCAAGCACGGAAGACAGTATTGCTACTAGACCGACACGCCGATGTGGGAAAACCGGAACAGCATTTTTTTTGCCAAGATTTCATGCTGTCGACAGCGTGCTCGGAGGAAGCAGCTGTGATGGTTTGCACGCTTTTGTGTCGTCGACTGCTTGCTCGCAGGAAGTAGCTGTAGAGTCGCAGATTTCGAGTTGAGGGGAGGGTGTTAGCGACTCTGCAGCTTTTTTTCTGGGCAGGCTGTCGACAACACGAAAGCCTGCTCGAGGTCTTGCTCCGGTTCTAAACATCAACGTGTAGATGTAGCAGGTCTTATAGCAATATTGTCTTCTGTGCTTGCCAGGAGAAATTGGCGTGTAGGTTTACCCATGCTGTCCCTTGTGCCTGCCAGAATGCTAGCATCAGACTCCTTGAACATCGGCATGCCAATCTTTCAATGCAGGCCTGCAAAAGCATGACCGAAAGGCATGCACAGACATTCATCTAAACCTGGCTCATTCAAAGACAAAGAAGAACCATAGATGGGCGGGATCCACAGGTGGTGAGGGGCTAGATCACAGCAGACAAGCCGGATGGATTTTTTATGTATGCTGATCCAGTGTTGCCCAAGTGTGCAGCGGCCGTGTAAGGCACAAGAAAGGGAAAGGCATGGAAGTCAGTATATTATTAGGTTCTGTAGGGAATTGGGGCAACACTCGATCAACATGCGTAACTTGCTGTGATCTAGCTTTCGTCCTCCGCGCTGCTGTCAAGTGGGAGCTGCGGGGAGCTCAGGGCTGGCAGATACACAGGTGTTCATTTTCTAGTGCAAAACGCCATGACGTATACCAGACCCTCTACAGTCCACCAAAACCATTCGAGGGGTAAGCTGGGGCGGGGGTTCGGCATCGGCCGCGTGATTGTTACGTCCTGTGCCAAGCCATCCAGAAACCATGCCCCAAAGCCATCCCGGGCCCATCCCGGCTGAGGCCAAAGCCATTCTGTCTCAAGTCCATTGACAACCCCCTCACGCCTATGCTAAATGGGGTGGATTTTTGCGTGTTTCTCGTGAAAAGAGCTGGGATTCATACTTCATGCGGTTAAGACTGCCATGCAGGACAAGAACATAAACTATGCAATTTTTTCTGTTTTTCTTTGACGCATCTGACCAGGTTTGTTGGTGTACCATGCCCCTTGACAGCAAATGCTAGATTGCTTGCCAGCTAGATTTTTTTTTGTACCGCTCAGCACGATCAACTGAACCCAGCTCCCGAGGTTGTGCGCAGCCGGTATCACATCTGGACCACAAAGTCTCCAGGAACTATGCTCGCAACCGCAGCTCAGTCTGTCGAAACAAACTTGTTTGTCTGGCATGCTTACTCTTAAGCCACAGCAGCGTTGCAGGACAGGTCAAGTTTCTCCAACACCAGGATAGGGTTTTCTGCCATGCGTGAAGAGTTCAAGGACCGCCTGAACTGCTTCCTTGTCTCAACTCCCGCGGTGTACATCAGCTCCTCAGCTGCGAAGCTAATGTCTGATGTATTTAGGCTTATCACGTACCGCATGTGGTTGCGTAGGAGTCAGCTCTCAATGTTTCGCATTGCTGCCTGGCAGTACAGACTTTTTGGACTTTGGCAGGCTTCCTCGTGGGGTTTGCCGTTAGCGAGGATCTGGCATGGGACATCCTGATTAATCAGGACGAATGGGCACAATCCACAGAAAACAGGGTTCGGCTCATTCTTCCTGCAGCTGAGGTAAGTGCTAATGAAATCATCCTGACTTCGAAATGCCAGAAGCAGGTCAGTTTTTCGACCCCTCAGCCTTGGGCGCTGTCCGCAGGATTACATCCACTATCTTGGTCTCTACCCGCGACCGCTGTCAAACTGGAGGCGAGGTGTTGCTGTCAGTTTGCTTATGCTCCCGCAGCTGGCCCACTACTTTCTGGACGCCTTCATCTGGAAGATGGGCTCGAGACTGAGTCGGGCCAGCGTGGAAATTCCAAAGAAGCATGGCTCGGTTTGCCTGCAGTTTCCGTTTTCGTCAACTTCCCTGACTTCAGGTCCTCAGAATCCGGGACTGCGTGAAGCTGTTATGGCCATGGGCAAGAGCGACAAAAGCAAATCGTGACGGAAGCCGACCCTGCTAGTGGCGGAGAAGGCGGACCTGGAAGGAGCTGCAGAGGTCTCCCGGGACTTTGGCGACACTTCCCGCCAGCAACATTCAACACGGACTTCGCCTGGCAGCCCGAGCATGACCTTTCGCTCCAGATCGCTTGACGGAAAACCGCGTTGCAAGCAGACCAGTGGCATCACTCTAGGTGCTGCAGTTGCATGGCTTGGGCCGCAGAGGCAGAGTTGCAGATCCATTACTCTGGTCAGCACTTCTGGGCAGCTGCCTCAATTCTCCCCACAACTGCCCCAAAGCTCCCCAAATCCCAACAGTTGACTCGGTTTCGCAGATGGCTTTTGCTTCTTAAGTGCGGACGATTCTCAGGTCAAGACCAAAGGAGGGCACCGCTTGGATGACTGGTGCTGAGCAAAATAGCAGTCACATGCAATCACTAGTTTTCTGAGCTTACGAGGTTGTAGCCCAACGATGTCTCAGGCCATGTTCATCCCATGTCAACGTGGTCAACGGCTGCCTGACAAGGAGGCAAAAACCAGTGGACCTCGTTGGTCAACGTTGGATGGCAGCCCTGCGAGATATCCAGTGTCAGCGACCAGTTGCCATTGAATGAGGCTGCACAACCGCCACCCAAACTTTGCTGCACCAGCTACTGTGTGCGGAGGCCTCCAATCCCACTCTGATTTGGCCGCAGTCTGAGCAGGGTTGTTTTGGCTGGAGAAGGTCAAGATTTTTCTACCAAGGTGCAATCCGAATGCTGCATACTACGAGGCCATGGTATACCAGGCCAGCTCCCTTTCCATGTCAACGTAACAGCAAACCCAACATGAGAATTTGTTGGCGTCAAGGCCGGGATATTGAAATTCTGGGCCAATCAGGGTTGGCGGCCCAGAGCAAACCCAGCAGTACCTCTCAGTTTTTCACACATAGTCTACTGATGCAGGCAGCTGTGCTTTTGAAGCAGAAAGATTCGTGTCGTTAACGTTCAAATTCACCAAGTCATGCAAGTTGGAAGCACTGAGGCTGCAATCTTTTCCTCTTCAACTATGCCGGCTACGGGTTCCCTGGACTTCAGAAAGTATCCTAAGCACTTCAGCGAAGACTCGTTTGCAAAGACCTTGCGCTCTATTCCGAGAAAGCCTCAGGCGATCTTCGGGTCAGCCTTCCCCATCACGGGTTGCCGAGGACGCGCGGAGCTGTCGAAATCACATCTCCCGAATCCATTTAAGCTTGGCCTCATGCTTTGGGAAGTGTTTGCGGCTTTGACATATCTACTCATGTGCCTGTGTCAGGATGGTGAGGATGTCGTCAATTTCCTCAAGAGCTCCTCGCCCATGATTGCTGTGCTTTCCTGTTGTCATGTCAACACCAGCGCTCAGGCCGAGGAATCACGAAGATGGGTGTCTATGGGAGGCCGGTAACGACTTGCTGACGAAAATTAGAGACTCCACCCATCCTGGCCCCCAAGGCCTGCATGATGTGCATGGCAGCAAGCAGAAGAAGGATTAGATCTAGTCAGTTGGATAATCACACTCCTGCACACGTCAAGGAGTCAAAGTTGGCAAGCTCAAATCATCTTAAAAAGCTCTGTTTCTCATGCAAGCCCTTGGACAAAGAGTTAGACGGTGCGGCTGAGGTCCATTGGCGGGATCGCTGCCTGCCACTTGGCCAGGAGGTTTCCCGAGGTGGGGTGCACAGGTGCAGGTGATGCAGCCGTTGGCGTTGGCGGTGCAAAGTGCTGAAAGGTACAAATCCTCATCACGGACAGGACGGCAAGTTTGCTGTAAACTGGGACGTGCCCTGAACGCCTGAATTCAAGAACTCGCGGCAGAAAGGACGATGTCAACTCTGGAGGGCGCTGCGCGATGCATGTGCTGATGGCTTGTTTGTTGGTAGAATGGTTGAAACCAATTTTTGCCGAAATGTTGTCCTTTCGTTGAGTTGGGAGAACCCATGGCCAGGTATGGTGGTTGGGCAGCGAAGGGCCTTCGCGCGACGTGGATTCGGCAGGTTTTGTTGCAGTCGCACCTGCCAAGCTGTTGCAGATCTTCATTTTTTTGAGCTCATAGCCTGCGTGTGCAATTAGGTCAAGTATGGCACGCCTGTGCGCGCCTGTGATCAGAATCCCATCATCCACGCTAGACACGGTAAGCGCTGCAGCGGGCATCCGCACAGCACAAAAAGCGAGACAGTAGGCATATCCAGAAAACCAAGCTCTGGCAACAGTTTAGCAGGTTATGCAACATCCCACGTGCCATGCCTGCTTCAGTGAGATGTGCTGATCTCGCTGGGTGGCAGCTCCCGTGAGGGGTTTGAAGCCAGTTTGCGGTGCACATCTATCGTGATGCCGAAGCAGCCATCCTATGTACGAGTGAGTGACCTGCGTCTTACACCAGGTGACTTTCGCCGAATTTTGACTCGTATAGGGTTGCAGCATGATGCGGTAGAAGGAGTGCCTCCAAGCAAGGACTTGCTTTTTCTGCTGCATCAGAAGTTCTTTCACGCTGTACCTTTTGAGAACATCAGCGTTTTTGAGGGGGAGTGTGTCTCATTAGATCTCAGATCCATGGTAGACAAGATGTGTGGACCAGATGGGACTAGTCCTCGAGGCGGTTATTGCTTCGAACTGAACAAAATCTTCGGAGCTCTGCTTCTACATGCGGGCTTCGAAGTTGAAGCTAAAGGCTCAAGGGTTTACCTGGATGACGGTGTAACACCGAGGCTGCCAACGCCTCCGCTTGTCACGCACATGGTTTTAGTAGTGCGCGCAGATTCCCAGTTATTTCTCTGCGACGTTGCATTTGGAAAAGCTGGTTTGGTCAAGCCTGTGTCTCTCAGTGACGCAAACAAGGGCGCCGTGGATGGTGGGCACCACCAGGTGAAGCTTGAGCTGCAGCGATTGCAGACCAAGCATGCTTTTGAATATGACAACTTCTACCTGTGGTATAAAGACTCAGACACATCGAAGTGGATGCGAGGCTATTCTTTCATGCCCGTGCAGGACTTTGATTTCATGGATGCTCTGCCATGCAATTTGCAGGTGCATGGGTACTTTGAGAGTCCATTCACGCAGCGGCTTTGGTGTGAGATGCGCTCTGTCAACGCACATGTTCGAATTCTAGGGAAACACTTCCTTCACAACACAGTCAACGGCAAGATCCAGAGAGACATAGAGAGTGCCCAAGAGCTGCAAGCTTTACTGCTGCAGCATTTTGGATTGTCCATATCTGAAAGCCTTTGTCGACACATTTTCGAAGTTGGAGCAGCCTCAACTCCTGAAGACAAGTGGCGTCGACTGGTCGCTGGACGTGGTGGTGCCGGCGTTCAGACCAGAGCTACTCTGGTCGTCGTGCTCTCGGTGGCAGCACTTGTAGTTGCCAGCTGGATGAAGCGCACGTTTGCTTAAAACGGCTTGAATGATTTTGGCAAAGACTTGGTTTGCTTGTGCTAGGCCTCATGTTGATCCCACCCAGGTAGATGCTTCCAAAGTCAGATGGGCATCTGCGGCCTGTCTCAGCTCTTTGAAGCAAAGAAAAAAAGTAGGCACTGCATGGAGATGGCCAAGAAAAGCGTAGATGAGTGGCATATTCTAGGGGTGCGCCTGAGGAATGGGCATGCTACGAGATCCCCAAATGTTTTGAAGAGGAGCAGTACAAAATGGGAAGAAGTCTGAGCACGTTGCCGTGAAGTGTTCCTGGTAAATAACGCCTTCCGTGCATGGCACAGAATCGTTTTGGAGACCATGGTTACGTAGAGACACCATGCCATGGCTTCAGCTAATGAACTGGCGCCCCTCCACGAGAGGCATCCTTCCGGTAGACACGCACACGCACAACATTAAATCTGTCAATCTGACGTGTGACGCTTCTGTTGGCAGGCTCCCGGCTGGTTGCAGTGATGCCGAACTGCGGCGTACCCTGCAAGCTTCGCTGAAGCGATGGCGAAGGAGCGTCTTTGAGAATCTTGTCGTTGTGGCGAACCTGTGCCGGATCGCCAGGCAGCCCCGTATAGCAACAAAAACATTGCAAGACACGGCGCAGAAGGCCAGAGGTTTTGGTTCAAATGCAATCGTTTAGAACACTGCGCTACGCATCTTCTGTTTCCGCCTCTGGAGAGAGAGAGAGAGTGTGTGTGTGTGTAGCATGCTCGGGAAAGGTTCTGCAACAAAATTCCTGTCAGAGTGAGGTTGATCCCAGCCTCACAATGCGCATTCTGACCAACATGCTACTTGGATTTGAGACTGAGTGACTCAGACCCTCGGGTATGTCGCACTTGGAAGAGAGCTGGACTTGAAGCCAAGGGTACAGACAAGATTTCCTCTCGATGTCTTTCATTGCAATGCCGTGGCTACAGCGTTTGCAAAACGTGGCCTGTACTGCAAAACTAAACTTACTATCTTCGTTGCCAGCCGCTGTGGAGATGAGTTGCTGTGGAGGAGCTGCCAGGCAAGTCTTGATTGACTCAGCCCACTGTGCAAGAGGTAGTCATTGGCGCGAATGCTGCGACCTTTTTCATCGGATGTCTACCTTTGGAGTATCGCCTGATGCCGCAACTTGGCGTTGCGGACGGCTGCACTGGAGTAAGTGAACCGAGAAGCACTGAGAAGCACTGAGGTGAGTGCCACAGCAGCTCTTTCGGCGATGGCGACACGCAGTGCGTGCAGTGCGTGGCCAGCCGCTGTGCAGTTGCTGCAGAGCTTGGACCAAAACTCGGTGCAAGCTGACACGATGCTTGAACTGCCAAGTCACATGACAGTTCTTGTCTCAAGACTTGGCATGGTTGATGTCAGTATACATGGACGGAAGCTGAGGATTGCTACGAATGCAGCGATGCGCGCTGCGCAGTCTGCCAGTGAATGGCAGCAAGCTCTAAGCATCTTCACTGCGAGTCTAGCAGCAGGCATGTTGCCGGACAAGATCAGCTACAACATTTTAATATGTGCCTTCGAGGAGGACAGAATGTGGGAGGAGGCCGTAGCAATGTTGGAGGAGATGCCTTCAGTGCAGGTAACTCCTGACGTGGCAAACTGGAATGCCGCGATGAATGTTTGTAGCAAGGCAAGTTACTGGCAGCAGACACTTGGCCTTTTGCACAGCATGCTGCGCAAGCTGAGTGCAACGCGCATCAGCTACAATGTCGCGATGCACTCATGTGAGCTTGCAAGTCAATGGTGCGCTGCATTGCAGCTCTTGGCAGAGATGGGGGATGGTGCGGATGAGAACAGTTACAGTTCGACCCTGGCTGCGTGCGCAAGCTCAGGGAGCTGGCAGGCAGCTCTGGACATCCTGGGATACATGGTCCGCTGTCAACTGCGGCCTCGGGACTTTGACTTTTCTGCTGCGATGCGCGCTTGCAGCGTCGGCCAGCGAATCGACTTGTCGTTGGAGCTCCTTGGCACTTCGATGAATAGTCGAGCCGTGCAGGGCAGACTTTGCTACGACACTGCCATGCAGGAATGCAGCCGTGCAAAGCTTTGGCAGATGTGCCTGCAGCTCTTGCAGGAGATGCCACGACTGCGGCTGTCGCCAACTCTGGTAAGCTACGACACGGTCATAAACTCCTGCGAGAACTCTGGCAACTGGCACCTTGCCTTGCGACTGCTGGGAGTGATGCCAGCCAGAGCGCTAGTGCCTGACCTGCGGAACTTTTATAGCGCAGTAGGAGTTTGTGCTCACACTGGACAGTGGCAAGCCGTGCTTCGACTTCTGCTGGTACTCCCTCCAAAGCTGCATCCTGGTGCCGACATCTTCCAGCATGCAATTCTTGGATGTGACGATGCTTGCAAGTGGGAAGCTGCACTGACTCTACTAGCCAGCATGCCCAAGGTCAAGGTCACACCCGATGAAGGCGAAGCTATTCTGCTATCCCACTAGGTCACATCCCCTTTGCTTGAGGTGGGACTAAAGTGTCATCTATCTTGGGCTGGCTGCCTGCCGCACCCATTGTATTTTTGGGCTGGCACACCGCCCAACTGGCAATCCCGTAGTGCCAATACGATTTGTCCGATTTGTGAAGAGTGTAACCGCTTGTGCAGTGCTTCCGCTTCCTATACACACTCCGAAGGAACTTGAGGACTCCCTGTAGCGGGCCAGCGCAATTCAATGTTGGGCCAGCCTGCAGAAACATTGGCTCTGGAGTGACAGCTTCATATTTCATAATCTGGTAACGCACAAAGGAGGTTGCTGTACAGTCGGGGGTTAGAACTGGTAAAAGAAGTGGGATTGTGCTTTAATGAACTGAGTGTACGACCCTGATGGTTATTTGCTAGCTTGATGCGGACAGGCTGCTTCGATGCGGCCATCAGGGCCTGTGCTACAGTCGCACGACTGCATGCCAAGTTCCAGGGTGTATCTTCCATTTTGACTTCCTTTCTTCCAATGAGGTGGGTCAGTGGATTCTGGCCTTGAACGTTTTTGACAAGGCAGTGTCTCTCGACAAGGCTTCTCCGCGGAAAAAAGTCCAGCAAATCAGCGTGGTAACGGTTTTTGTGAAAGGTTTGGTAAAACTTGCCCTATGCGTGATTCCATGTCAGGCAAGGGCGAGCACCTTGAGCTTTATGCTGACCGCTTGCAGAACTGGCGCACAGTGGGAGCTTGCCCTGCAGCTGCTGCCTGCCACCCAGCACGAAGCGCTTCGTATGCTTACATCATTCTGGAGATTGGCAAATATTGGCAATGTTTTGCAAAGGTTTGGACCATTTCAGTCAGATCTGGACTGCTTCGACGCAGCCATCAGCAAATTGCCTGCACGAGCTGGACAAAGGTTCTTTTTCCCAACCAGCCTTCAACGATTCAAGTGCCGCAGCGAGAGATTGCATATACTGTCTTAGACTTGATTATCAACCTGCTCACGACTGGTGAGCCCGCACCCCGACTCGTGTTGGTTGAGTCAATGCATGGAAGTCTTGTTTCAGAGACTGAGCCCTATTGCATCTTAGCGTTGAATAGCTGCTCATTCGCTGAATTGGCAAAGCGTCCACCCCTTGATAACATGAGGCTCATCACTTCGCCCATCATCTGGCATTCTGGGGTTAGGACCAGGGGAGGGTCTTTGAAGGATGTTGCGCCGAGGTTCCTGCCGGGTAGCTGCAGCATGGCGCGAGAGCGTGTCACTCCTGGCTGAGATGCGAAGGCATAGCAGTTGGAGTGATGTTTACAAGAGCTTTGGGAGCTGTGAGAGAAAAGGCGCAGCCTGCGCCCAGATGCCCACAGCAACTCTCCAGCATCCGGGTCTGGGGATAGGGAGTCTGCAAACAGGCCCCAAGCCAGCTTAGGCACTGCGGCTGCAAGCCATGCCTGCACAAGGCGAGGCTCGTTTCTGTTTGGGTGCGCGTGGGATTGTGTTGGATGGCCGAGGGCAGGGGAGTGGCAGCTTGGCCTCAGCCTGCTCGAGCCCTTCTTGGAGATCTCTGAGCCTCGGCCAACATCCGACTCTTTGCTGCCTATCTGGCGGTCCGGCAAGATCTGGCAAGTACAAGCGTAGCCTATCCATTTTCATTTTCGCTTGTCTGCACTGAAGGACTCGCAGGATTGCACTCGAGAAGTGATGCACGCCTGTGGCCTGGGCTTATGCTGGCAGGGAGCAGTATCCCTTCTTCTTCGCTCCGAGATGAAGGTCTGGGCCACTTGAAATCATTCAAGCTGTGATGTGTCAAGAGCTTTGTCTCCTGCATGGTCGAACCTCCTCTTGGTGTGATGGCTTTCCCTGCCTTGTGGTCTTTCCCGTGAAGCTCAAAGTTGCTTGAGCAGGTCTGTGCTAGCAGAATCCATTCCCAAGTCGCAGCGCATTCCCAAATAGCTTGCATCATTCTCGCGTAATCTTGCAAAATCCGTAAGGATACCAGACGACAGGTTTCTGGGTCTTTGCAGCAGGCTTGTCTTTGAGTGTTGATGGATTGAATGCGGTGGCAGCAGCTAGCTGCAAGGGTGGTGCAATTTCAGCTCATACATCACAGAGCTCACCGTATGGCGCGCAGGCAAATGCAGGATGTGAAGCTACGCGTGCACTTGAAGCGTCGTGAGTCGGGCAACGCGCGTTACGTCAGCGATAGCGGTGTAGTGATTGCTTTGCTATTTGCGGGGGTGTAGGTTTCGCCGGCTTTTTCCAGCATCATGAGACCTTCTTTCTCCGAGGTGCCCTCGCGCACCCCACCCCCAAAGCAGCCGAAAACCAGCATCAGCTCCGGAGGCTTGCCTCGCTACCGAGGGACTTTTCAAGGCGTTTCGGGTCCTCCAAGACCCTCCAAGAAAGCATCAGGAGGACGGACTTTTTGCACTCTTGGCCAGGCATCCCGAGGCCTTCTGTGACGACTGTATGACGCGCCGTGCGCGCCCGACCGAAGCTGATTCGTGACGCGCGCAGAGCGCAGAGCGCGATTCTGTCTTGAAGGTGGACCTTGACAAAGCTAAACCGCGTTTTTTGTAGTTCACAAAGCCATTTGTCCTGGCATTGCCCGCCACCCCTAAACTACAAGCATGGATTGCGCTAGCTTTTTCAGGACATCAATGACTGGAACTTTGTCATCTCAGCCTGCCAGAAATCGAAACAATGGCAGGCCTGGCTGAGGACTGTTTGCTTGCCCAACTCGAGAGACATGCATCAGCACTGTGATCTTGAATTGCAAGGCGACGCTGGACCTGTTCCGTACCCTTGTGGATGCGCGCATACATCCTGATGGGACCGGGTTGCAGTGTATGTCAAGAGCGAGAGAGCTAGCCAAGCAGAGCCCGGGAGAGTGTGGCGCATCAGAGGGCGGCAAGCAGCTAGCCGCGTGCATCGCCTGACCTTCCCTCTATTCCAAGACCAGGCCATAGACCCTTAAATGTTCAGATGAGTGGATAGGAATGTGTGTATCCACTTTCTAGCCATCAAAGACAGAAGCGTGTGCCGGGAAACCAACTGCCTGCTTGTACAAAGGAGGGGCGATCAAATAAAGCCCATCGCGGCAGGCGTAAACGTGTCCATCTGTAGGGCAGTTTACTTATGCAATTGAAAGATTACTGTTAAAAACCTACTGATGGGAGGTCACCGGAGACATTGCTTGCAGGATTATAGGGTTGGGCCGTCAATGTCGTCGTTTTTTTTGAGGCCCCAGGGTCGAGGGAGTTGCGAACAAGCGCTTGCAAATGTCCTGGTTTCGTTTGATGGAGATGAATTCCATCCTCTCAGATCTTGAGTAACGTGCAAGTGAACTTTGTTTTTCGAAATGAAGTGCCTGAGTGGCCTGGCCTCCGGCAAAGTTTGCTGCATACTTTTTAGCACAAAAGTGTTGCACAATCTTGCACATGTCCAAAGCAAAGAGTGGTGGTGGTGGTGGTGGTGGTGGTGGTGGTGGTGGTGGTGGTGGTGGTGGTGGTGCTGGTGCTGGTGGTGGGGGTGGTGGTGCTGGTGCTGGTGGTGGTG